GGGAGGAGAGTCCTGGGGACCCAGGGGTGGGAGAATGGAGCAGGGGCACGGCCGGGCCACTGAGGGCTCCTGGCAATCCAACCTCTCTGCTCACCTGAGGCAGCACGGGGGTCAGGGTGGGCCCTGGGTGCATGCGGGGAGGACTCCCAACCCCAGGGAGGGCAGGCAGGTCCCGTTCCTGCCCATCCAAGACAGTGGCAACTGGTGCAAAAGCCCCAAGGCCTCTTCTGGGTCCCCCTGGAAGGGAAGGGCCCGCAGCCCCGGCCCCCGTCCTGTGCCCAGGCGACCTAGAGCCCGCCCCACGGCTGGGCACCTCGCAGGCACACACAGGGACACACCCCCTTTGAGGCCACCTGACTGCACACTGCTCCTCTCCCTGTGACAGCACCTTCCCTTGGCCGGGACTGATTGATCTCCACATGAATATTCATGCGGCGGTTCAGCCAGGACCAGGCAGGAAGGTTCTGGGGAAGGGAATGGATGGCGGTCAACGTGCCGATGCCTGGCCACTCGCCCGGCTCTCACACCAGCACATCGGCCTGCAGGCTTGTGTCTGAACACACTCTCCCACCGGCCAACTCGGGAGAAGGTGGGAGGGGGGGCCCCAGGCATTGTCCTGTGCAAACACACGGACCTCCCCACCCTGCGACCTAGCGCCCCCCACCCCCATCTCCCTGGGGCCTCCCTCCTGCCTTTCCAGACTCCTCCAGGCCCACACGGGCCCTCCCCCTCCCCCAGGTGCCTGCCCCCAGCCCTCCCCGTGACGGGCATGGTGAGGAAGGGCCCCATCTCTGCTCAACCCTGTTCACAGGGCCAGCTTGAACAAGGGCGTCAGCACCTTCCTGGCCTGGGCCTGCCCTCAGCGCCCCCGCCCCCCAGCCACCTGCCACCCTGGGCTTCCCAGCACAGTCAGGAGCAAACCGAGCCCATGCTGGACTCTAGGAGGTTCCGGCTCACGCCCGCCTGGCTCTGGCCCCAGCTGCCCCCCTCAGCTGGCCAGTCCAGAGTCAAGGACAGGCCGGCAGTGCATCCTGTCCCTGCCCTAGGGCCGGGGAAGCGTCCAGCCCCAGGTCAGGGTGGGGGGTGAGCTGGCTGAGCTGGCCAGAGCCGGAGGAGGTCTGGGTGTGGTCTGGCCTGGGCTCCTGGGAGGCGGCGGCGGGGCCAGGAGCCGGGCTCTGCCCTCCCTCCGACGAGGGCCTGCTCCCATCCTGGGCCCAGGTAGCCCTGCTCACCACGCACCCTCCTCTGCGGCAGGCCCTCCCCCAGCACCAGGCGCAGAGCCCAGCCCTGCCGAGGCCCCCGGTGACGCTGCCGCCAGCAGGCCCGGGCACGCTGCCCGCCGGGACGGGGGAGGGGCGCCCGGGAGCTGAATCAGCGCTCCCTCCGCCCTCCCTGTTCCCTCCAGGCAAGGATGCTGCTGGGGCTGGGCGCTCCCCCTTCAGGGAGCTGTCAGGGAGGCGGCAGCCCCACGGCTGGGATTTCTGGAAAGTGGCTCCCTGGCCGGGCGTGCAACCTGGTGCCGAGCAGCGGGCCAGCCTCCGGGGCACGGGAGGAAAGGCGGTCCTGGAGGAGCTGGCCCGGAGGGGCCCTTTCAGCGCAGCGCAGCACCAACGAGGGAGAAAGGAGAAAGCTCCTCCGTTCCCTCCCCCAGAAAAGGCTGAATCAGCACCGAGCGCCCGGCCCTGCGCCAGCTCCCTCATCCAATCACACGCTGGGAGCGACAGGGACCTCTCAAGGTCAGGGACCATCCGAATGGTGCAGCGAGCCCGGCGCGTCCGCAGCAGCAGCAGCAGCAGCAGCAGCAGCAAGGGGTTCACCCTCTGCTCCAGAGCCAGGCCTGGCCCACCCCAGCTGCCCTCCTGGGCGGGGCTGTACCCCCACATGCAGCCAGCGACCCCCACTGGGAGGGGGTGCAGGGATGGGGAAGGACATGGGTCTGTCTCTCGAGGTGTGACATGGGGGACGGAGGCTGCCCGAAGTGCCCGCAAGGCTTGAGACAGCACCAGACCTGAATGGCACTCGGAATAAGCATCTGGTTTCTGGAAGCTCGCAGATCACTGCCCCTCCTGGCTGCCCCCCTTCCCCCGCCCCGATAGTCCCTCACACCAGCCAGAAGAGTCAGGCCCTGGGAGGCCGTCAGCAAAGGGACAGGCTGGACAGCAAGGCTGAGGGCACAGCGTGGGCGCGGAGGCTCCTCCTGCGTCCCGGCACCTGGCTCTGGCCCCTGGAGACCCCTCACCTGCACCTGAGAACCTTTGTTCAAGAGAAGTGCTTCTCTGCTTCCCCTCCCCCCGCCCCCTCCCCCTCCTGCCTCTGTCCCGACCCTGACCTCCACCCTCCAGCCTGGTTCCCCATCTCCCCCACACCCACCGCCTCCAGTCCCAGCCTCCCCTCCCCCCAGACCAGGTTCCCAAGCCAAGGGTCCCCTTGCCCCCAGCTCCCTCCTGTCCTGTGCTGTCACTGGCACAGCCTGCCACCCACAGAGCCTTCTCTTCTTGGTGACCCTGGGCCGTCTTCTCCCACCTGGAGTCCCGCATGAGCAGCTCCGTGCCCTCCCAGTTCACTGGCTCCGGGGTCTGGCTGCTGGGCCCCCCCAGGCCGCCTGGGCTACTTGGGGGTGAGGAGGCAGCAGGAGCCAGAGGCCTGGCTGCTGTGTAAGGATGAATCCCGTTTCCCAACCAGCTCCAGCTCCTGCCATTTGTCAGCATGGCCCTGGGACCTGTGCTCAGGTCACGCTTCGTGTCCGCTGGACCCCCCCCCCCCCACCTGCCTCCTTGTGGCTCCTGGAAGCTTCCAGGCCTGCAGGCCATTCCTTTCTTCCTGAAGACAAGGAGCCCGCAAGGAGCAAATCCTCTGCTCTGAAGGATGCCTGCTCCCCCCAGAAGCTGCCCTCAGCCCCCCAACCCCCAGCTCGGAGCCAGCCAGCTGCCCCACCCCCGGGCCCTGGGCCAGGACCGCTCTCCAGTGGCAGCTCCTTAACCTCAGATCCCACCCCTGCCTCCCAGCTGCCCGGCCCCCTGCGCTTCGTCCTTGAAGATGGGGGCTGAGGACAGGGGTGACCTCAGCGCCAAGGCGGGTGGGAGCTGGCAGGAAGCTCTCTCACTGGACAGCACCTCAAAGCCCGAGGGCTCACGCTCACCGAGTCTGGTCATCGCCTGCTCGGTCCATCGCCCAGGCCGGTACCCAGGAGCCACCGCACCCGGGCCGGCTCTCAGGGCCCCCGCGGGGCTGGAGGCACAGGAGCCCCAGCTCGCTTCCAACCAGGAAGACAGGCGTCCTGGAAGGTCCCCATGCTGAGGGCACACGCCCGTGGGTGCATGTGCGCACCCTGAGGACGGTCCGAGGTGGGACAAACGTCACCTCCTGAGCCTCTGCCACTCCCCAGGGTGTTACCAGCTCTGCCCTCGAAAGCGACACCCCCAAATGACTCGCACTGTTTTCTTCTGAGAGACCCCAGTTCCACAAGATTCTGGAAACAGCAGAGCGCGGCCTCTCCGGGGAGGCCACGGCAGCTTGGAGGGATGTGGCCCTTGTCGATGAGGTGGCAGAAGGGGGACCCAGGTGACCCTGCACAGAAGCTAGGAAACCTTGACAAGCTGAAGACACTAAGTAATAATGAGTCTCTCATCTTTCCAGGTATTTTTGATGACTTACACTTTTTGTCTTCCCCCCCGGACGTGGGACCTGAACTCCCCACCCTGAGATGTGAGACTCTCACGCTCTGCAGACTGTGTCCACTGGGCGCCCGCCCCGCCCCCCGTGTTTCTGGTTAAACAAGACTTGAGTTTTCAGCCAAGGTTTTCTCCGCGCACACGTATCCTGCCCTGAAACGGGGCTCATGCTGTGCTCGCTTCTGTGACCTGTTTCCACTCACCGCCCTGTACGGGCCCTTCCCACCCGTCTGCTGGTGGAAGGCGGCCCTCGTGGGCCCGGCCCGGGCCCCCCACCGGCGCCGCCACCCCTGTCCATCCTGGCCGAGTCCCCTGGACCTCAAGGTCAGGGTGGGCCCACCGAAGCCCACCACGCCTGCTCCGCCCCAGGCATGGGAGATGACTGCCTTAACGCGTTCCCAGTGCTATTGTGACAGACGCCATCTGTGACATTTTTGGTTGGTTATATCCTTAAAAGAAAAAAAAAAAAGAATAAAATTTTGAGCTTTACACAACCACTCCATCAACATGTTAAAAAAATAAGTTTAATGCAGGTGGCTCAATTCGATAAAGAATTTAACAGGCACTCAAGACCCGAAATATCTCTGTGTCCAGCACGCCAGCTCCTCACATCCTGGGTGGCACGGCCGGCCCCCTCCTGCCGTCCTGACTTCGCCGACACACGCCCACCCCAAGCCCACCTTGGAGCTCTGGGCGAATCCAAGTCAATTCACACGATAAACAAAACTTTTAGGAAACAGCAAGACTTAGTGCAAAAGATTCTGCGGCGCTGGGAGGGGGTGACGTGGGCGGGCCCCCGCCTGCCATCCGGGGGACAGAACTGCGTGGAGGCTCCTTCCCGCGGCCTCGGGTGGGCGATCTGGAAGCTGGCTGCGCGTCAGAACGTGGCTGGCAGCCAAGCACTCTTGCTTTCTCCCCCGCACTTGGGAATTTCTCCCAGTGCCGCCCGCCTGCCCAACAGCTCCCCCGGCCACCGGACAGCTTGGCCAGGCAGGGTCAAAGGGGCGCTGCCCACACCCGGGGGTGGGGGGGGCGAGCTGGGGTGAAGCGTGGGTCTGCCACTCCCCAGTAGGGGGCTGTGTCCCCACGCGATTATTCAAGGTGCCCTCTGCTTGCCGAGCGGCCCACAGGGACGCCTGAGCCACCAGGCCATCCTGTCCTCCTCTGACAGAGAAGGCCAAAGCCAGGGCTCTGGGCAACACGCGGGCCCCCGCTGGCCCACCAGCCCTTTGCTCTCTCCTGCTCCACATGCATCTCTGCTTCTCACTCCACAGCTGCTCCAGCAGCCACCAGGGCAGGGGCACGGGGCGGCCGTCCCTGGCCCTGGGGCACACGCGCAACTCTATGAGGTGCTTTTTAAACAGAAGCTGGGCTCGTGCGTCTGCGGTGCACACTCAGGCCTCTGACGTCAGCTCCAAACACTGCATTTCACTTCCAGCCACCCCTCCAGAAGCCCTCCCCACAAGAAGCGGGGCCAGAGCCCCTCCCCCCAGCAGGCAAGGAGTTAAGCTGCCTCATCAGAAATCCGCACTTGAAGAGACTATGGCATCCAAGTTGACATCGTCAACAACCCTGCCCACGAGGAAAACGGGCCGGCCCCAGACTGGCACTGCCCGGGGCCGGTCCCAGATCTAGGGAGCTGCCAAGGCTGACTGCGGCCCCCACCGGACTGCATCTAGGCAAACCACCCAGACCCGGGAACCCGGCCTGGGACTCAGCACTCCCTGCACCTCTCAGGGTGACAGATGGGGAGTGTGCGAGCTGTGCCTGGATCCGGTGGCCCAGGGCAGAGCGAGCAGCCCCGTGGCAGTGGGGTACAACAGCTTGCTGAGCCCGACGCCTCCCTACGGCAGGGCAGGGGCTGGGGATTCACGGGAAAGGGCGGCGTGGCCGGCCAGGAGGCGCTTGCACACCACGGCCGACGCCTGTGTGCCGGACAGGAAACAGGGACACGCGGGCTCTCCAAGGACAGCTGGGCCCGGCGGGCCGCCCTGGCAAAGCGGGGCTGGAAGCACAGGCTGGAGGCCACGAGGCGCCGTACCTCCGTGAGCGCACCAAGAGGGTCAGAGCAGAAAACTAGCAGCAGCGGGGGACCAGCGGCCCCTTCAGGCAGCAGCCTCAGCCCCCCTCCCCCATGTGCTGGGGGGTGGACGTGGTGGCAGAGCCCACCTGTGAGACAGGTCGGGGAGAACAGGACCCTGGCCTACGCCATTGGGAGGGACGGGCCACGCACGCAGCCACCACCACGGGAGGGGTAAACCCCAGAGCCGAGGCCCGCCGGTGCCCCTCACATGTCCACGAAGACCATGAAGCACCAGCCCAGGCCCCCAACCAGCAGCACGGTGACTCGGATCCCATAGATGAGCAGCTCGTTCAGGAGGCGGAAGTCCACCCGCCGGCGGCCCAGCAGCAGCAGCAGCACCGACAGCTTGAGCTGGAAGCGCAGCAGGACGCGCACGCCCAGGTACTGCAGGCAGAAGAGGGCGGCCAGCGCGCCCCACAGCGTGGCCGTGAACAGGCTGCAGCTAAAGTAGAGCAGGAAGCGGATGAAGCCGTAGAGCCAGCGCGCCCGGATGTAGACATCGAAGTTGTTGTACTTAGTGCGCGCCAGGCGGGAGGCGCGGGCCGGCCCGCAGGCCGCGTGCAGGCAGGTGGTGTGCGGGCCGTGGAAGGAGCGCACCCGCCGCGGGATGGGCATGACCGGCATTGGGGCCCGGGCGCTGGTGCTAGCTCGTGGCGGCGGTGGTGTCCAGGCAGTGGTCAGCATAGGCGTCATGGGCACCTAGGCCTGGAAGCCAGCAGCTGAGCCCTGGAGGAGGCGGTGGCCTGCAGGAAAGCGACAAAGAGGAGCCGGGTAAGCCCCGGGACGACGGGAGCAGGTGCATCCGTTCTGGGAAGTCAGCCAGCCCTGGGGCCTCAGCGAAACTGGGTCTAGGTCAGGGGGATCTGCTCCCGGGGGGCTGCTCTTTCCACAGGCGCGCCCGTGAGGGGACGCTTCGCTGGGACGCAGACGTGGACGAGTTGGCTTCAGCAACTTGACACGCCAAGTGCTGCGGACCTGACAGCGGGGTGCGGGGCTCCGGGGTCACCTGCCGGGCCTGGACCCTGGCGCCGTCACCCACTGGGAGTTAAGCTGGAGCCGTTTCCGTCACCCTCCCATCCCTGCTCCGCGAAGCCGGGCTGCCGCAGCGCTGCGCTCCCCCGGGGACGCTGGAGGCCGTGCCCGGCAGGCAGAGGACAGCCGGCTGCCGGTGGTGTCGTCACAGGCCCACAGGCTGGGCGCAAGGAAAGGAGAAATACCCAGTGGCTCTCCAGTAACTGCCACTCACGGGTCGCCCAAATAACTTGTGGATGGAAAAACATGCAAGTACAGGGTGTGTGATACCGGGGCGGCCAGACTGGTTACGAGCTCAGGAGACACATCACGCGGGCGGCCTGCCGCGGGGACCCGGGGGCGGCGCCGAGGGCCGCGGCGGCGGCGGCCGGGCGCGTCCAGCCCTTCCCGCAGGCTTGGCCAGAACCGGGTCCTGCACCCCCGGGGCGGCTCGCCTCGGCCCGACCTCGTCCGCAGGGCCCCCGCCCGCTCCCTGCTCGTGGCGGCGACGCGCCCGCCGCCGCCCCCACGCACGGTCCTCCAGCGTCGGCGCCGCGGGCTTCCGGGGCCGGGCGAGCACCGGCGGGGACCCGGCACGCGGCGGCCGCCCGCCACCCCCGGGCAGGCCCGCCCGCCGCTCACCAGGTGCCCTCTCCGCGCCGGCGTCGGGGGAGGCCGGCGGTGCGGGCGGCCGGGCCTGCGGACCCCCCCGGCACGCGGGGCTCCAGGAGCAGGGCGGCCGCATGGTGCCGACGGCGCGGCGACTGCGGGTCCCGGCCGCTCACGCGCCCCGGTCCGAGGGCGCCCCGGAGGGCCCGGGGTTCGCGCGCCCGGCGGCCGGCAGCGTTTGGCCCAGCGTGGGCGCCGTAGCGCCGTCCCTCCGCGGCCACCGTAGGACTTCCTCCCACCCCTCCGCCCGTGCCGACACCGAAAGCGCCTCCCTTCCCCCTGCTCGGGGCCGATTGTGAGCGGCCGGAACGCGGCACTTCTCCAGGGCGTGCGTGCTTACGTGCCTGCGTGCGCGCGCGGCCCTTAACGTTGCCGTCCGACCCCTCGCACCGCGTACGCCGCCGGCGGCGCGGTCTGTCTTGCGCAGCCGCAGATCACGGGCTTGCGCGTGCGGACCGTAGGCAGCTCCTCCGCGCACGCGCCGCGGCGCCCGAGGCGGCTGGCTGTGCGCAGGCGCGCGCCCGCGAGCGCTGGGTTGAGAGCGGGGCGCTGCTCCAGTCGCCGCGGAGGGTCCGCCCTGGTCGCCGAGTGGCCGCGGCCGAACGTGTGTGCGACCCGCAGGGCTGCTCCCTGGCGGGGGGCCGGGGAGGGTGGGCTGGCCGACTCCAGCCGCAGCGCCCTGGGCTTGCCCTTTCTTGGGACAACGAGGATTCGGTGTAGACTTAAATGTTTCGACCCGACTGGGTGTCAGCGTCGCGGAGACACTGGGCGCCCCTAGTGTGTCCGAGTTCTCTCAAGCGGGGGGGGGGGGGGGGGG